AGAGAGAGATACTTGTTTTCCAGAATTTTCCATTCAGCACCGCTGAATACGGAGAACTATCCGGCTGCTCTCGCTCAGAAAGAGCTCCACTCGTCTCGCGCGATGCTTCGTTGACGTTTCCATTTTCGTGAATAGCAACGGACGTTCGCGAACGTGTGCGTTTTTCCCCCGGCGAAGAGTCGGGGAAAATCTCCTGTGGTTTAACGGTCCACACCACGGTCCGCGCTTCGAATCGATTTCTTATTCACGCCCGCGCTCACCTAATCGCGCCGATCTGTAACGTCGATGGAAAATTTCGCAAATCCCCGTCGAAGGTCTCGAGAAGGGAAGTGCAGTTTTCGAAAATCGACAAGCGGATTCACGGCACGCCGTTCGTTCGGATGGAACAGCGGAGATGATAATTCAGGCGACGCGGACGCGCGCGCGCGCAAGTTTTCGGGTCCTCCGGGGAGAACTATGGTACTAACGATCATAACAGCCGAAACTACGTCGAAATACTAATGCGCGCCGCTATTCGCACTGTACAAATAAATCACCGCGTTCCCCGTGATTTCCCTGTGCAGTCGCGGCGTCTCGCACGAGTGCGCCGAGTTGCATAACGCGGCGACGCCGCCCGTATTTTCCATTCATGAATATGGAGAGTTAAAAGAACACGGGTGGGATTACGCGAGAACTCCCTTAATTTACTACATATTTCTGGATTTAGTCCGTCACTGAATCGCGCGCGACCGTCTATTTTTTGCACAAAGAAGGAGGCAAATGCGTAACGCGCGCGTCGTCATTCATATACATATTATTTTGCACGACGGCTAATCCCCGCGAGCTGTTGCTGCAGAAAGTAAAATTCTGGCATAATGAAGTTCAGAAACAAAAAATGTCGCCCACTCACGCAAAATGGAAGCGGTAAAGTATATTCGTTGCTCATATAATATTTACAGATGTTAAATGAATTACCGCACTATAAAATTTGAAAGCGATTTCTCGCTTTTCGATCAGCCCCATAATACCGCCATTCCCGCGAGCTATTCATACGGCGCGTTTTGTTCCATCGCGATTTATATTGGAAAGCACGAGAATAAACGTCACAACGCATTTCTAAAACGTGCATACACTCGGGGCCACAATCTCGACAGCCATTGAAAATTGTATATTACTACCTCCATTGTTTTTACCTTCTGTCGTGGAAAATTCCGCAGTTACGCGCTTCCCGGGGCCGGAGAATCGCATGCAAATTTCTTGATAATCGAATCGCCAATACGATTAGAAATGGCCGGATTACCGTCTCTCTATTCCCACGTTCAATAATATCTCGATGATGTTTCAGCGTAAAATCAAATGTATATACATTTGCGGCAATTTTATGAATTTTTCTATGTTTATACTGCTTCTTTTGTGAAAATATAAATATTCTGTGCATTTACGGCACTGACGTAAAAGAACATTAGAAGAAAAACGAACCAGTAAAGAGAGAGAGAGAGAGAGCAAAAAATTAATAAATTTCCGTTCCCTCCAGCATTTCCATATCCGCATGTAAAACCAGATAAAAATTGGAGAAACGCTTATTTATATTTATTTTATAAATTTATTATTGAGATATGTGTGAATATAGAAGAAATGAAAAGTTTCAATTATCGCTATCTTGCTGCATGTGAGAGATAACCGGCGCTGTGAAAATGTTTTAATACAGCGATTGAAAAACGTCGATCATTTCTGCGGATATTGAAAAATATTTTTGTTAAACAACTTATTCGCTTGAAAATCGGAGAATAGCTTATCGTTTTATTCAGCGCGATACTGCACAGAAGGATGGAAATTCTATACTTGTCAATCGCACTTCGAGCGCACGCGCGCGCGCGCCTTTGACAGTATCATACGCGCGTATCTTATTTCTGACGCAGAAAAATACAAACAGAAACAGAAACATCAGTTGGAGTAGCCATGAAAAGCACGTTACGTGAATCGTTCGCTAACGATTGTTCCAGATGCTCCATATAAACACGTCGAGAGGGGCCGGGCTCTATTTACAGAGTTCAGCCGAATGCCCGTCGACGGGTAAAATTACAAAGGACCGACAATCTAGAACGAAGGGATGGACTCGCGCAAGTAAAAGCTCTTTGAGCAAAAATATACTAATATTTAAAATTTCTTAATATCCCTAATTGACAGTCGTTGGAAGATAAACCGCGGAGCTAAGCTCGCGTTGTAACGCGAGTGTCAACAGAAATGTGTTGCATCCCGCGTGTTATAAATCTCGTAAAAAAATGATCCAAGAAGAGATCCTAATTGTTACGATTTGTTACTTAATAACGACCGCCAAAAGTCTTAATCTCGGCCCGTAGTTCGTGAAGTCGCGTTATATTGTAGAAATTTCCTTAATTGAATGATATTTAGAAGCAAACGTATACCTCGCGATAACATCGAATTTAATGTCAACCTGGCACGGAGCGGTCGAGCAATTAAAAGCTTCTGAGCGCTGACGCTAATATTTAAATTTCTTAATACCTTTAACAGACGGTCGCGCACGCGCGGTCGTCAAAAAATAAATCACAGGAGATTAATGGCGTTGGCATCATAATACGAATGTCAACGAATATTGTTTTTTCTGAAATATTTGTGCTATAATACTATCTGAAACTGCGTATATTTAAATAACTACACCAAAAACATGTTGACGGATTATGTAAAAGAAGAATATAATCACAATGTTGTATTCAGCGAATGTCGAAAATGCGCATCAGTCTCGATATACAGTTTGGAATTACATTGCATAAAACTCGTTTAATGCCGCCTATTTTGATGTATATATTAATGTGTGTACGTTCTAAAACTCTCTTTAAATATTTTTTTCATATTACACAGCATATAAAAAAATCTAAATATAATTCCATCTTGATTTCCGATGCGAATTATAGATCGTCTAACAGTGAGATTCTGAAGGTTCTCAGATTTGAATTTAAATCCACTTTAAACGATCCGTATAGTTCAGAATTCAGAATTTGAGTTCTACTCACAATTTTTTATGTGATATAAAAATCTGAAGGATTAGAATGCAACACATATAAAATGTATATTCAAATATTAACTAATGCTGAAATGCACGGCATGGAAGAATTATGAATTATAAATAAAAATTTACCCTGTGAAAACTAACTATTAGAATTAGAAACCGTTTAAAACGGTCTTATCTAGGAGCAGCAGTTAATCCACGGAAGAATATATATTAGTGTAATTAAAAGTCTTTGAACAAATATCAATATTTAAACTTAATTTCTTTGAAACAGATAGTCATAGCTACACGGAGAGAATTTTCTTTTAAAATTTACCCTGAAAATCATGTTAATTGTGAAACAATATATAGTATTTAGGTAAATTTTACTGTGCACTACAATAAAATTTTACTGCGAAGTCTTATTGTAGTGCGCAGTAAAATTTGCCTAAATACTATATTGTCCCATAATTAACATGATTTGCAGGGTAAATTAAAAAAAAAATTCTCTCCGTGTAGTTATCAAAAATAAAGTACAGAATTAATAATATATTAATTTGTTTACACAAAATTATTGCACTTTGGTAACTTCCCTAAAATAATTCCTCTCTAAAATGTCAATACATGAACAATTTTACCAAAAAAAATGTAATGTGTATTTTACACGTAGTTCGCAGGTCATATAAAAGAAAAACATAATTACGATAGCTATTTGAATAGCAAGCGTCGAAAGGATGCGTTAATCTCAGGCGCATAGTTCGCGAAGTTACGCAATAATCAGAAATTCACGGGGAATCAAATAACGTTTCGGAGCGAGCGTTATACCTGGAGTAGCATATCGGCAAGTTTCGCTTTGACTTCGCCCGCACTGTGAGCGATGCGCGTAACGAATTGGAACCTCTTGATTACTCCGGCTAGAGACAGTAATAAATGACACGGTAATGAACGACCCTAGGTCGAGGAATGTCGAGTATCGTTTGGCGATATAAACGACGACGCGTTCGTCAATAACGTTCCGCTGGTACATACATGCAACGCCAGCGCGCGTTTCGCGCAGGTTTCGCACCGCGGCCCGCGGTTATCCAGGCCCGAGAAACGAAGAGATCTCTCGCAGCCGCAGCGAATATATTCCGTCGCGCGTCGATAACCGGCTTTTACCGGCAACGCAAACTTACCGACTGGCAACCCGCAGCTGATATATATTTAAAAGCCGCGCGGGTATGTCTGACCAATATTCGGCTGTACTACTGCAAGTGGTACAGTGGAATTGCCCCGCGTCGCGGTAACTCAGACAATAATGAAGCGATCTACGGCGGCTTTTTGCCACGCGTAGAGAACGCATATTCGACGATAAATCGCGCACTCGATTGTGTTCGAGGGAATAAATGCGAGATTTTCCGTTGAACGCATCGTGACTGCTGCGTCGCCGCAAAAATATTGTTTCGTCTTCGCTTGGCGAAGCTATATATATCTGACGAAACCGCGACTGCAACAATGGGGAGAGACGAAACTTGATCTTGCGCGATAAAGCAGAACGAATGACGTCCCTACTCGCAAGAAGAGACGCAGCTCAGGATTAATGATATACTCTTTGTCAAGTGTTGCGAATACATTGTGGTATCTTCAAGCGCGATTCAGGACGTGCGACGACGGGCAAAACTTGCAGCGCTCGGGCAAGCAAGACAAAAGTAACAAACGCATAACAATTGCAGCTTGTTTACCCTTCGTTCAAGTCAACGTAGGATATATATTCATTTATTCTTATCGTAAACTTCGAAATATTGCGTCGCCACTCATCATTGCACAGTATATAAAAGAAGAGATAGATAAAAATATATAAAGAATAATAAAATATCTCTGTTATATATTGTTATAATTTATCGATAAAGGGTTCGAAATATCAATTTCTTCGAGAAAGGAGTTTTCCCGGGAAAACGGCCGAATTCAGACCTGGAATGTGACACTCCACTCGATAGTTTTGGTAAAAAAAAAAAAGAAGAAAAATCTCACTTACCCAAGAGCCTTCGTGCTGATCAGAGGCGTCTTCAGATTCAGAAAACCATTTTTCTTGGTAGTTTGTTGCTGGCTCGAGCCGTCGCCATTGTCGTTTTGGTCCTCGAGATCGTCGTCCCGTTGCTTGGACTTCCTGGCGCGTAGATAGAGCCACATTGCTAATGCGAGTCCTACTAGAATTGCGAGGGCACCGACTGTTCCGAAAACTGCTGTCAGTATGACGTCACGGCGTTCCATACCCACCTGGAAAGCACAAGGAAGGTGCAAATCGATTAAGAGACGCGGACACATTTACATCCACTCGTGTCTGTCATTCCCATCTTAAGACACGAAGGGCGCAATCTGACGAATCCAAGTAAACGGATTAGGTCGCGTAAACTCGGAGCACGGGACGGCGCAACGGTCTGTCGTCCTTCTACACGGTCGTTTTCGTAAATTCAGCGAATAAAAAGTATAACAAGACGTTCGCCACGTTTTGCGCGCGACAGCTATAAGAGACGGAGAACGTTTTCGACCTTATATAAAAGGAAACGACGTCGTAAACTCGGCGACAGACGGGGGATTTTTTTCTCAAGAGAAAGAGAAGGGGAGCGAGAGAAAAAAAAAGAATGAAAGGGAGTGCCTCGGGGATGGCCTTCGCGACGACGGGGAATGTATGTCTTTCGTATGGATGACAAGAGCCCGGGCATGGTCGAGCACGTCCGAAAAATTCATTTGCAGACTTCGCACGTAGCGGTACCACGGGTCCGCTGCAGCCAAGGCAAACCCCGGTCAATACGGAGTACACCTTAACAACGATGCTATACATGTAGAGTTCCACTGACTCAATAGACTCGGAGGAGGTATCGCGCTCGGCTAGACGTTACGCCCATGAACCGAAACCGTCCTGTCATTCCATGCACGAATGAGATTCAAGCCTTAGCAATTTGGGGTATCTACACGTGCACGCGCGCGAACTATTTCGGCTAAACCTCAGCCGTGGCGTAGATAGGCTACGTTGCGGAGATAAAAGCACGTGACGTTTCGATCGAAAGATACCCGATCGATTAGGACAATCCTGAATGCCTCTACCATTGATATGCACATCGAGCATCTTACATCAATGCAAAAATTGTTAAAAATGTCCCACGCTTACAAATCATTCGCTTATCATTAAATTAGTTTCTATTACTTAAGTATTATATTTATTATCTTCAGTTTGTCAGAGATTGGGTTGTAAGTCCGACATTTATTAACGCGCAATTTAAATAACTGAGGATATATTTAGAATTTACATAAAAATATTATTAGGCACCAAGATCCAACTTCAAACCACTAAAGGCGCTCTCAACTTAATTTTATCTTTTAATTAAATCTTTAAATTTTATAATAACTTTATAAATTTAATAAACTGCGTTAGTCGTTTAAGCGGTCTAGTTCTTATTATTGTATTATATTTATATTTTCAAAGACAAGTATATATATGTGTATATATATATACATATATATAAATGACTGGTTTGTAATTTTTTTTAATTTATTAAAATTTATAACAATGCATCTTCTGGAATTTTTTATGACTTTTATTACAATATGTAAACGATTAAATTTATCAATTTACTTTTTACTTTCCAGAAAATGTATCATTATAAATTTCAGTAAATTAAAAAGAAAATTACAAACCAGTCATTTTAACTTTCTACCTAATATTATAAGTAATGAAAACTCTTTTATTAAATGCGTACTTCTTGTATAAATTCTAAGCGTACTAATAATCTTTTCTCACTCTACACAATAAGAATAATCTTGCGTAAGCTCTCTCCTTTAATCCAAAATGAGTAATCACTCTTGTCTAAGGCGGAATCATCACTCTCAGGATTAAATATCCTTTTAAATTCACGAGATGTGTTCATCCCATTACATGGTAGAATCAAAATGTAGCCTCGGTTCTCGTTAGGTACTCGTAAATTAGTTTCCCCTTATCTCTTTAAGCGGATGACACGAATACGAAAAATGTACAAGGCGTTCCGCAGAGGAAAGCGCTTTACGATTTTACTGTTAATTATTTAACCGCTTCTCTATGAATGAGAAAGAGAGAGAGAGAGAGAGAGAGAGAGAGAGATGTTACTACGTCAATTTGATTCCATAAAACTTGAAATAGCGTCTGCAATTTTCCCAACATAATTACGCATAAAATTTATGTACAGGTAGAAACTCGGCGGTCTCCTCCCGAGACCACCCTCTTGCTCGTGTCTCACGTGCCCATAATTTATTACGCATTATGTCTGACGGAGCGGCGTTCGGGGAGGAAAAACCATGGCTTAAAACGAGCAACTCCCCCATATATTTCAGTCTCCGGAGCGCGGCGGGCACACCGTGACCCTCTTTGTAACGTAGATATGCTTCTTGAGTTACGCTAACGTACTGCCAGACGTTCGCCGAGCATTCTCGATTTTCCGCGCGTGATATAAACCCTCGGCGTCGATCAAACGCGCCTCCTCCCTTACATCCCCAGCGCGCGCTGATAAAATACATAATCAACGTCTTTTCCACGTGGCCATACATCATCACATCTACACGCAATGTAAATTAAGCCCTGCTCCTTGCAGAAATATTGACAAACGTTGAACACGGGACAGAGAGAAGGTATATACGTGCGATAATAATGCAGTACAGCGCCGTCTCATTAACGTACAGGTCGTGCTTCGGGAGCAAATGCGACGAGGTCGCGTCGCGGAATGAAAAGCGGCTCACTCGCGAAAGGTACCATTTAAATCCGTTACGTCACGCGCCCCATCGAAACGCGATTATCGGTCGACAAAGCGATCAGTTGCGGACGCAGAAAATACAGCACAATCACCCGTGACTAATCAACGACGGCTTTCAGGCAATTTTAAATGCGCGCAACACACACACACACACACATACACACACAATTGGTATTTCCGTCCGTTAAAAGCCAATAAGCTTACGCGGGATGTCCTGATGCGGCTGACGGGACAATTGTATAACAGTGTGACATAAGTTAGAATTATATATAGCATATAATCATGTGTTATAAATGCTTGATTATTTTATTATGATATAAACTTTCTTGAATTTATTTCTTTAGAATAATGTTAGAAGTAATAAAAAAATTTATATAATATGATAATAAAAAAATATCTATATAACATATCTATATGATAAACAAATCTATATATTATGGAGTAATGTTAGATTATGGAGATGTTTATGGAGGACGTTATTATGGATTAATGTTAATTTTAATTTAAATATTTCCGTAAGTTTTTGATTTCTCAAAATGAGAACAAAATGGACAGTTTTTTTTAGTAATATATCTATATACAGATATCTATATGTAACGTTCAATACAAAATTTTATTCTCTTGATAAAAATCGTGTAAATAATAGCATGATAAAACTTTATACGTAACGTGTGATGAAAAGTTATATAAAACAAAATGTCCACTTGAATTAAAAGAGGATTATGTATATTAAATAAATGTGTGAACGCAAAGGATTAAGCACGTGGCACGTCTCGTTTCATTGTTGAAAATTACACTACAGCGGATTACGATAAATGCCGCAACGTGGTTTACAAAATTGAAAATTGCATCGCGCAAATGGAAAAAGTTAAATATTACGTAGCTTTATACTTTAAGTTGTAAAGAGAACTGGAAAATATAGAAACCATCCATAATCAATATCGAGAAACTTCGTGCATTAAAGAAGTGTATTAAAGAATGTCTGATCAAAGAGAGATGATATTCCGTTCTGGTAGAACTTATTACGTATGTACATTTCATAATAATTCTTAGTGCTTGAGCATAACATCGCAAAAAGCCTTATAAATGTTTCCAGTTTCATGTAATGGTAAAGGAATTTCCGTTGTACTTTAAATATCATTCTGTATAAACTCATCCAAAGATAAACTTTTATCACGAGCTATTTGTTTTACATTTTCAGTTAAAATACTTCCATGAGATAGAAAAGACGTTTCCTTCCTTGTTTTGTATATATTTGGATTAATGAAGAAAGTGGGCGAAAATGTAAATAATAGTTCCAGTACGGATAAAAAGTTTTTCAAGATATAATGTTTTAACGGATCAAACTTAAAGGAAAAATAGATGCAAGTTTCATCATTTGTACATTTATAATCCGAAAGTAATATAGCATGAGTCGGTCTTGAGATATCTAAGACGGATTAAAAATAAATTTTCATTTAAGAAGTAGATATTTTAGCATCATAAAACTTTGAATAACGGTAAAGTACACTTTGGCTAAGATGAATAAACGACTAAAAGATGTTTCTTAAAAAATTTATGTCTCATCTGGAAATATATAATTTATCTAACGAGAAGAGGTCGGTTAAGAGTGCTTTCCATTTAGTGACACAAGTCAACACAAACGTCATTCTATATCCTTCTTAGTATTCAGTGAGTAACAAGGACAAAACGATACTTGTATCGACTTGTGTCATTAATTGGGAAGCACCCTAAAAAGCTATAAAGCACTATAATACCATCGTTTCATTGTATTATAATATCACCGCATAGTTAAATAAACATTGCTCGTGCATTAAATTGGTTACTTACAAGTTTGCGGGCACGGACTGCTGGATCGACTGCTTTAGGAGGGCCATCGAAATTTGGATCCAGCTCCGAGAAGTATTGCCCCGCGAGTCCCATGTATACCATGTTTCGTTTCTTTGCGGTATTAGAGACTGGGTTTCGTTAGCGAAAGTCTCTCACCTATGTTAATAAGCCATTTAAAGCCCCGTAACTTCGCCCAAAGAGCCATTCTCTCGAAGCTCCTTAGTCGTTACGACTAATTCATGCAAAATCGGATCGGAGTTATCATCCCAGGAGCGTGCCTAAAGTACAATATTTAACGAGCGGAATGGATGCGATGCCTTTGACACAACTAATAATTTGAAAATTTAAACACGCAAGTAGAGGTAAACAAGTGCACATGTTAGATAGAGAGGATTAGTCTTTCTCTTAGTTTAATAAATTTTCCAGGTAGTTGGAGAACTTTTACAAGTGTTTCATCTCCCTTGATAGTATTCTCATCTGGCTGTCAGTCCAGGCAAACAAGATCACTCGTAACTTCTGCCTTGATACGCCATTAGAATTATTCTTCCAACTTTTGAATGTATAACGAACGAATAATTCCGCACGCGATGACGTAGTGGTATAAAACGTAATCCGTAATAATTTCTTGGGAGAAAATAGCATCTCGTAAAATTGTCAGAAGCGAATTATTCACTTGTACGTCTTGAAAAGTTCGAAAAAGATGAACGATAACTCCGAGCCGCAGTCCGTAGGAGATCAGGGAAAAACTGAAAGTGTCACACTATAGACAAATATTGCATTGTTGCGAAACTACCTTCTGCCGTTGGAAAAGTAATACGGTTACATGGCGGATCGACAAAAAGTTTCATGCCCATCCGTTACAACGATGTCGTAAACTCTTGAAAATTTAGTGTGTATCTTGAAACTTTTTTAAATCCTGTATATACCGCGTATATCAATACCAATATCCTTGACAACTTCGAGAACCGCGGAAGAGCACGGAGAGAAAATCGAAAATAATGCGCAAAAAAAAGTCGTGTTTACTCGTTGAGTTAGAAGATGAGCGCCGAGAGCACCCGAGAATCTCTTAAAGTTAAATGAGGTCGTTAAAATTAATCTTCGCGGTGGTTACGTCGTTGGCGAGCATTAAGCCTCATTTAGTACGAGATACTTGCTGCTTCACGAAAGTATCATAAGTTCTTTGATACGTTCAAAACGAACTTTGGTGCAAAAAATTTTTGTCCCTCCTCGACTTCAGTTATAAAAAAAATACGATAAAAAAACTTTACTGCTGTACGCTTTAATATACTTTTTCGTAATGGAGACGGTCATTTGCACGGATTACGCTTACGTGGATTGGTTAATGGAGGCCTGATTGATTCACTGATATACGGTTTCATCAATTATGATTAGCAACGCAAATTGCGTAATAAAATTACTTTCTCGAGTCGAGTATGATCGAGTAGATATCATAACGCGGAGATTCTTGGCGACGCTCGCACGGAGACTGTAATTCTGGATGTGAAAGCAATTCGTTGTTCCTAATAAGCCGTCAGGTTGCGGTATAATAATCACCAAAACGAAAATAAATCACTGACAAAAATATAGATAAGGTGCAGCGCAAGCGAGATTTTCCTCCCGTAAATCATTCCAGCGCAATTCCTGGCATTCCACCGCGAATAAGGGTAAGTTAAGATTGAATCCTAATTAAAGTTCCACCGCGAAGATTACGGTCGACGGATTATTCCTCGATTCGATGATTGCTCGTAGATGCAGTATTTACTTAGAACTATTAAATCACGTGATATTTAATATTCCTTGTTTGAAAAAAAGGTGCTATAAAACTTAATTAAATAAAATATAAAATAAAAATATTACAAAACTAAACAAAAATAACGCGTTTGCATGTTTTACTGCGTCGTAGATTTTCATATTTAGCCGCTTCTTCGTGTACAAATAAACTCTAACTAATTAATGAAAATAATTTAATGCTTAATAAATTAACACTTATAAAAACAAATATTAGTATTATAACATCTCTGACATAATCATTTCTGGTTAGAATTATCATTTGGCACAACAATCTTAGTAACGAGAATTAATTAAATGTCACATTTTTTTATTTATAAAAATATTTTTAATATCATGCAGAACCATTATAAAAATGCAGAAGTTATAAAAATTTTATAAGAATATTGATAAAAATTTATTAAATTTCAACATATTTCTAAAATAATTGTTTTGTGATAGCTAATTTTAATCTCACATTTTTCAGATTGATTTAAAAGAATATAAAAGAAAAAATGGGCATGTACAAATATTTATTGTTATTAAAATTTACGTATGAGGCGTATGAGATATCCCGAGAGAGTTACGAGCAATAGCGATTTCCTCGGTGTATACCCGATATTCGCCTTCGAATTACCATTGGGATTCCAGAGGCAAAAGTTGTATGAAAGAAACTCTTTTTAAAGAATAGGTACTTTTATAACGTTGAAAATATAAATAAATACTATTTTGAATTTTATAAAATTCTAACAGCGATGTATATTCGAAAAATGATTTTTCATAATCCTAGCGCAAGTTAATAAATATATTTATATTTTAAAGCGCACATTATGCACAGAGCTATATGAGGCTACAAAGTTATTGGAAAATAAAGGTTACGCAGTATATTCTTTGAAAAATAACGTACACACGGAGTTATTGGACAACAAGATATACGTAGTACATTCTTTGAAGATTGACATATTAGTTTAATAGAAGTTCAATAGAATTCTTTCGTAATTCTCAAAGAAAACAGTGTTTTTCAAAAAATATTTTCAAGTCATAGCAATGAACAGCAATTCCTGAAGAGACGTAATATACCTCATACAATTCTGTCTGCTATGTATCGGCTTTTTCTACTGAAATTTTTCTTACGGAAGAATATATTAACAATTGCAAATAAAAAAAACACATATATATACATCTCGATACTTTATTCGTTATTTTTTTCAATGAAAGAAAAAAAAAGATTACTAACGCGAGTTTTCATAACGTCTCGAAAAAAAAAAGAAACTTTATTAGTGATGAACTTCCAATACCTTGTTCTTTTAACGTCTCCGTTTCCGCGGACGGAAAAAAGGAATGCAGAAGTGCACATACATCTACGAGCAATCATTCGCTCGGGCGCGCTCGGCATTCGTTTTGCCAAATTTCCCCGCGATCTGCCTTCCCGCCGCGGCTTCTGGCGTTTCGCCAGGGGAAAAAAATACGGAAATGTGGCGAGCCAATTAAGGGGCGCACCCGTCGACATGGAACACCCGTTTCGCGCCAAGCGCTCTTCTGAAGAAGAACCGAGCGAACCGAGCAATCGGGACGGCGCGGCGCGCGGGTTCAACGACGTAATTAACCCGCCCCGCTCCACTTCCGGTAGAGGCGTTCGCCGGATGGAGACGGAGGGAGTCGCGCGGTGTTGCGCCGGCGTGTATATCAATCGCTCTTGTGTGCCACGATAATCGGATAATGGCATGATAACAACACGATCGTAAGTACCGCTCGCTCGTCCCAGTCGCTCGCGCACGCATACACCTATATAGGCAGGACACGCACGCACGCACGCACGCATGCACGCGAATTCAAACCTGCGCGACGTGTACACACATACGTATATGCGCGCGCCGTCGACGACGGAGCGGAAAAACGTCACGGACGGCAGCGACCTGTATCTCCACCGCCGCACCGAGCAGAAGGAACGCAAGTACTCCGAGGCGAGCGTGGAACGCTGCAGACGCCGGGCACTTATCGCGCACCGATAGCGCACCCCCTGCCTACTACGGGATGCAGGGTGCGACGGTGAGAAAATGCCGCGGGGTTAAACGCGGTGGGTTCGCGCCGCGCCGTCGCTGCTGCCGCCTTAAAGACAACAAACGCGCAAAACGCCCCGCCTGCATCCCCCTACCCTACTCCCGTCTCCGCCGCCGCCGCCGCCGCCGCCGCTCGATCGTATCGTACGCTATCTACCTCCCGTTTCGCTCTCACCCAATTTCCCACCCGCCTTTCCGCACTCCCTTCTCGCGCGCACCACCCCCGGCCGTGCCTCTGTCCTCGTCCGCTCCCGTCGCGCGCGCTCTTGCCACACTCTGCTCACCGAATGCCGCGGGGTGAATCGCGAGCAACACGACGGCGAGTTCGGCGCTCTCCGGAAACGCTCGTCAACGCTCGGAGGCCACCACCGGGACCAGCTGTTGTCCTCCTCCCCCTGCGGCCGTGCGTTACCCCGTAACCCCGTGCCGCAGATACGAGAGAACACTTCATCCCCCGCATTCTCTCGCTCTCGCTCTCCTACGTCCGCTCCGCGCTTTCGCCAGCGAGCGCCGCCGAAAAGCCAATTACGCGATTGCCACCTTTGCGTATGTGCATCCGTATGCTAACGAGGACCGCGCGTCAGAGCGTATTCAAGCACGTGGAGCGTATAGAGTGGATTTTGCAAGCGGAACGGCGGGGAGGAGAGACCGTCAGAATTCGAAGCGCCCGAGATCGCCCGGAAGCGCATCCGGTGTAACGGGATTAGCGGTTTCAAGTTTACACAGGCGAGGTCCTCTTTCTCCCTCTTCACAAGTTTTGGAATTTTGGAACAAAGTGGAATGCGTGCAGAATCTCTGAAAGAGAGGGAAAATTCGCAATTTTCGTAACGTGACGTTGAAACGCGTACACAACACGAACGAGATTAGATCGTTTGCAGGCGCTTCTCTCTCTTTTTTGAGCGATTTGAATGTTTTCACCCAATTTTTTTTTGTTTGAATACAATTTTGTCAGGTCGTCACTTTCTGCCCATCCTATCTGTCGCGTAGAATGTGAAGTTGCTCGTATAACAAATAACAAATGCAAGAGAAAAAGGCTACTGGAAACAAATAAGATATCAAGAAATAAAAAGTGTACGTACACAAGGCGTCACAAATGCCTACCCATCTGAACTTGCAGGGATACTAACCCATGTATATGTATTACATATATGTATATACAATAATATATACGTATATGTGCTTCTGCAATTTCAGATGAGTAGAGATCGGAAGAGCACACGTCT